GAGGGTGGATGCATGTAAATGTATGTGTGCGTGCATAAAAGAAGTGCAGAATGATCAGAATATCAGCTTGGAGGGTTCAGGGTATCTCCTAGTCGAGCAGTCTCGACTAGAGTCTTCTTACTTGTTTTTTTTTTTCTTTGAGATATAGAAAATGTAAAAAAAAGAAGCAAACGAAAAGAAAATTTGTGGCAATTGCTGACTGTTGCCTGCCTGGCATATTTGGCTGTTGCGCGCCACGCTCTATATCTAGACATATGTAATCATGCCATATCTATTGCCATTTCAAAAACCCATTGAATAACACGACAAATTGTACAAACGAAGTTGAAGAAATTCATATAATAAACTTACATCTCAGAGTAACTGAATTTATATGAGCATTGGAATTTGAATTTTATTTTATTTTAAATATTTTATAATATTAAAAATCTTTAAATTTACAGATAAAATAAATTAAACATAATTTTTTATTTATAATATTTTTATATATTTTTTTTACAGTTTTTATTTGAGTAAAAAAAGTTGTTTTTAATAAAATTTAACTTTAGCATAAAATTACGATATGAATCTCTTGAATGCATTTTACACTCATTCAGTTCATTGCATCCCCATGTATAAATAAAATTAAAACAACTAACAATAGCTCAAGAAATGCGCGCGCCACTAACAAAGTAAAAAAAAAACATCGCATACACACACACACACACACACACACACTCGCAAACAAACACCCACTCGCACTCACAACTAAATCTCCGTCCTTTTGTCTGTCTCTGTCTCACTCTCTGTTTCTCGTCCATTGTGATCTTTGCAAATGCAGCGTTAACCCATGTGTTTGGTATAAGCCTAAACGTCTATTTCTCTTCTTATTCTCATTTCAGATAATGTAAAATCAGCGTATGCTCAATAAAGAAAAGCTTAAACACACACACAAAAAAAAAAAAAGAACAACAAATTAAAACCAAAAAACTGCTAAACTTACAAACAATATTCAAGTTAAAGCGTATTTATATTATATAAACGTTTGTTCGAATCAAAATTAAACTATATACAACTCTTAGCCACGATAGGCTTCAAGTACCCTAAGCTATTAGCTATTCCCAAGCTTTGTAAACAATTAAAAAAAAAAAAGCCAACAAAATACAAAACAAGAACTCATGCAAAGCGCTAAACATCTATGCTAAATATATATATGTATACCTTATATATATAGGTGCTGATCTGTGCTAAGAGCTGTTTATCATAAAACAAACGAAAAGTAACCCGAAACAAAACTTGTTGAAAGCCAACGTCATAAAGTAAAACGCGCAACATTTCTAGTCGCCAGCTAAGCTACCTATAAAGTCCCCCAGCTAAAGCAAAAACTATAGTTATATATACATACATATATACACATATATAATACTGAAGAATTGCTGCTGCGATGGCCAACGTTGTCAATATGAACAGCCTGCTGAATGGCAAGGACTCGCGCTGGCTGCAGCTGGAGGTCTGCCGCGAATTCCAGCGCAACAAATGCTCGCGCCAGGACACCGAGTGCAAGTTCGCCCATCCGCCGGCCAATGTTGAGGTGCAGAACGGCAAGGTTACCGCTTGCTATGACAGTATCAAGGTCAGTATCCAAAAAACACCCAACCAACCTGCCTATGATTATACACATCTATCTATATACATATATGTAAAATATATATATATGTATAGAGTGCAGACAAACCCCATTAACACTTTGCTTCTATCGTGTATCGTGTATGGAATGTAGCTTGTAAGCTTTTATTTATTACTCTTAATACATCATGGCTTCAGTACTCTACCCCAAGCCATACCTCCCACACCCCCACAAAAAAAGAAACCTATATGAAAACCCATTGCAGTTCCAATAAAGTGGATCTTGTCGCGCTTTTGTTGTTTGTGCTTATGTGCTTATATATTGTTTCTCTTTCATTTTTTTTTTGGTATATACTCTGTGCTTATTATATATAGTTAGTGGCTGTCTCTCTGTCTGTCTCTCTCTCTCCCTCTCTCTCTCTCGCTCGCTCTCTGTCTGTCACACTCTCTTTGCTGTGCGCTTCTGAGCCTAGACTTGAGAGAGCTTGCGGCTTGCCCCTAGGCCCCGGCGGCAGCTTTTGTCTCTGCGCTTGTCTTTGTGCCTGTGCTTGACCGACTCCTTGCTAAGCTATCGAGAGATTACCAGAGATCGTATAATAATAAACAAATTCAAAATATTGCCACAAAAACGGTATCGAAAACAAACAAAATTATGCAAAAATAAAATCAAAATCAAAATCAAGTGCTAAAAGTGTTGAAGTGAAATTCCAATAATTTAAATAACTAACAAATTTGAATGTTTAGGCCACGCACCTCTTAGAGATGGATAACTACAAGGTAAAAACATAATATTATTCAATATTTACATTAAGTTTCTATTATTCTTTTATACTTTACTTAGCATTAAGCACTTACAAGACGAAATCGTTTAAACAATTTCCAACAAAGTTGAGTCGGTTGATCAACTTTCAGTTTTATTTATTTTGGTTTTTTGGGTTCCATGCTGTTCCTAAGCTCTTTGACATTGTCCGACGCAAAATCAAAGCGTATTTGCCGGCATCCTTTTTCTGTTAGCCACCTTCGCTTTTCCTTTATTCTTATTTTTTTTACTGCTGAACAATATTGAATTTTCGCCGTTGAAACGCGAAAAATTAGCTGTGAAAAAGATTGGAAAAGCAAACGCACAAAAACAAAAGCGTCAAAGCTGCAAAAGTTTGTTCCTTACTCTCTCTCTCTCTCTCTCTCTCTCTCTTGTTTTTTTTTGTGTATTTTTTTTCGGCATTTTTCAGCACTTTTTTCGCTCAGCTTGACGTCCACGACAACAACAGTTACACAGAGGCGGAAAAACAAAAGGGCGACAATACCTTGACAATGTCGTGGGCTATGCGGAAAAATTAAGTTGCCCGGTTTGTTGTTGTTTGCTTTATTAAGCTCTCTCTCTCTCTCTCTCTCTCTCTCTCTCTCTCTCTCTCTGTGTGTGTTTGTGACAACATTGCTGGCAACACAAACAACAACAACAACAGCAACTATATAAAATGGCTGCATAAAGTAAAGTATTTTATATATAGTACTTGCTTAATGCTGACAAAATGCCGCCTCGAACCTCATCATCAGCATTATTACGATGATCATTAGTATTTGTATCATCATCATCGTCATCGTCAAATTTGTGACAGCATAAAAAATTACAATTTCTTGTTGTTGCTGCTGTTGTTGTTGTATTTTTGGAAAAAAGTTCGTAGTCGCCTTTTCGGGCGTCAGCCATTTGCCACTTGTTTGGTTAACGGCTGCGGCGCGCCGCTTTTGTTATTTTAACAAAACCCCAAAGCGTGGAGTGGAGCCTTAAAGTTAGCCAGACCCCTGGCACGCCCACCCACACACACACACACACACACTTTGGCCATTTTCGACCCGCTCCTCGTCTAGGCCGCGCCTGAGTGTGCAAACAATAGTTAAAACTGATGTTTGTAAGTAGCTCTTGGTTTGTTGTTGTTGTTGTTGTTGCTGCTGTTGTTGCGCTTTTGTTTTTGTGCTTTTCACGCCTGTCCTCACGCGCAGCGTCCTTAATTGAGCCACTGCCACAGTTGAGGCTGAGCAAAAAATAAAAAAAACAAGGCGAAGTCCGTCCCAGTCCTTGCTTCCGTCTCTTGCCATTTTGATGGCTGTTTGTTTTTGATAAACACTTTAATAGAAGCATTTCCGACTACTTGAAAAGTATGATGCTGAAATATTTTACAGTATTTCTCTGTATTGCTCTTAACTTAAAAAACAATATATATATATATAAGAATATACAAATATTTTGCATAACTATTCAAAGTGATTTTCGATGGTTTCTATTGAAAGTTTTTCTGAATATAAATAGAATAAATTTCAGATTTCGCATTCTATGGGTTCCTCAAATCATGATATATCTGCTCATATCTAATCATTGAAGATTTATTTAAATATATATATGTACATTTAAAATCAGAATCAATCTACATTGCCCTTCAGTCTAACTTATCTTACAAAATCTTCCAACTCCATTAGAGCTCTATTATAATATATTTAAAAAATTCAAGTAAACCCTGCGCTGGCTAGCCTTGCAATCTGTTAAGCCCTTGGCCATTGCTTGGCCCAGGCCACAGCTGGGTCGAGTGATAAGCTGCTGCTGATGCTGATACCCAACCAAAATTGAAAGAAGAAGAAAATGAGTTAGCTTTCGGCCTGTAACAGCTGCGAGCTCAAAATGCGAAAGCGAAAGGACACACAGATACATGTACATTAGGGCAGCTATACATACATATATATGTATGTATATATAGTATATTTGTATATGGCGAAGTTGTCCGCTCGCCCCATGGGGCTTCAGCTTGCGCCCGCTAGGCAGCTGGCAAATAAAGCTCAGACATTCATTGCCCACAAATTAATTGTGTTATCCTATTAATTAACTATGCAGTAAAGTTGCCGAGCAATTTGGTTCGCTGAGAGAGTTTTTCTGCCCAGCCGCATGACACGAGAGCGCAAGAGTTTTCTTCTCGTATTTTCCCTGGCTTGCCTTGCCTTTCCCTTCCATTCCTTTCAGATTACTTTTTTTCGTGCCAGGCTTTTGAGTGTGTTGTAATTGTAGCTGAGTGTGTTTGTACTCATTTTCACCTCTTTTTTCCCCCCAGAGTGTGGTGTGCATGTGTGTGTGTGTGTGTGTGTGTGTGCTTGACACACAAAACGGGAGAGGCATGCGGCATGATGAGTTTAAATGTGTAACGAACTTAAACGTGCAAGTAACCAGCATATAATGGCTGCCAACCAGTTTAAGGACAAGAGGCCTACCTGGATGAATATATGTATGTGTGTGTGTGTGTGTGTGTGCGTGTGTGGGTGTGACAACATTTTCCATGTGGCCACGGCACTAATTTATAGTTAAGTTGCCGCATTGTAGACTTTTCTAATGGCATTCGCTTGACAGAAATAATTGAAGGGGAGAACTAAAATGAGCTCAAGCAAAGTTGCTTTCAATAAAATATAAGACGACAACTGGGTCAATGGCATTGGATTGCTCTAATGCGAGTGAATTACTTTGAATGTATTTAAATATATATATTTTTAAATATATTTTAGTCAAATTAGAGCTGGGCAAGTGCTGATCCGTTTGATCATAGTTGATTATTTATCCGGCTTGAAAAGTTGACCCTTTCACAAATTGGCATCGTTTCAGTGTTAATTTCCCCTCAATTTAATTTGACCACAATGAGCCACACACATACACTTACAAGAGTGCGATAGGACTGGGTCGTTCGGTCACCCATGCTCAAGGAGTAAAAATCGCCATGGCCACAACATAAAACATTTTCCGGTTTATAATTTTCTTGTCACAACAATTTTCACGCCATGCTCGGCCGCCGGCGCCTCCTCGTTGCTGTTGTGCTCCTCCTGCTGCTCCTGCTTCTCCTGCTGCTGCTGCTGCTGCGTGCCGTTGGCTGCTTTTGGTGGCACTTTATCCGGCTGGCTTGGTCGCATTTTGCGTCCTTTCGCCTTTCGCGTGCTTTTGCTACTTAACCAACTGTAAAGCTCTCGGCCATATTGTGTGGCACCTTATTTTTCTATTATATTCTCAACACTGGCTGCTGTTGCTGCTGCAACATATTTCCACCAGGCCACGCCTCCAGCTTCTCCTCTAGCCGGGCAACAAAAGTCAAGTTTCTATGCCATGCAAATTATGAGCTGGGGCAGAAAAAAAAAAATTGAAATGAAAATAAAAATATATAAAATAAATAAAAAATAAAAGAGCCGCAAAAGAGAATGAAAATGGCAACTCTTCCGTTCGTTCGGTGGTTGGGCGATTGGGTGGCTCGGGTGGATTCAGTGGCTTCGCGCAGAAAGTGATGCCGAACAATATGCGCGCCACTTTGAAGTAATTTTGTTTTAGTTTTCGCCACGTTGTTTATTTCTATTCCATTTTGCAGTTGACGCTCGAATTTCCGGCCGCCTGCAGCGCCTGTCAGTCGGAAATACTTTGGTAATTAAATTTTAAAGACAACAGGAACTGACTGTGGTTCTTGTTCTCGATCTTGCTCGCTCGCTGAAATTCAATGTCATCCAATTATTTTTAATTATATATTCGCTTTCTCGACTTTGCTTTGCGTTTGCGTTTGGCCAAACCAATTTGCCCTCGGACTAGAATCGATAATAAGCAAAAGCCCGGCACAAAAGCCAAGCGACATTCATGATATTTATCGTAAAAATAAACAAACGCGACCCAAACAAATCGGAGACCAACTAGAGAAGAAAAAGAAGAAGAGAGGCCGAGACAATATCCAATTTGAATAAAAAGAGAGAAGAGATGAGAGTTCCAACTGCTCTCCACTTGCCTCAATAGTTTGCTTAAAGTGTGCTCTGAATGGCAGCCGAATGGACTGAATGAAAGACTGAATGATTGAAAGAAAGTAAGCCAAAAACTTTGTGCGGTTGTTGTCATTCGAACCCAAAGAAATCGCAAACTAAAAAATAATTGCAGCCAAAATAAAAAACCAATTTCGAAATCATATTGAGAGCTATCAATGACGACCACATTGAATGTTTCATAAAGGAATAAAAATAAAACGAATTGCGTGTCTATACAAATTGTAGCAAAAGAAATGAGATTGGAAATAATGAGATTAATATTTATTTGGTTAACTAAACAGCTTTTGCTGAACAGTGAAAGAACTTTAAAATTTGATCAAAATACATTGCTAAATGCAGGGAAATATAATTTATTTAAATATTGGACGTTAGAATTAATATAAAATTTAGAATCAAATTAAAAACCCCAGTGGTAAATTTTTAAATAATTTCTAATTTTATACCATTTTAATCTCTAATAAATAAAACTAATTTTATGTTAATAAAAACTCTAATAAATAAAATTAAAATTGCAATATGGACCAATTAAAATGCAGCTGGAGTAAGTCTATTATGAATGCCATAGCAGTGAGCTTTTGTTAGGGACACAGCTCTGCTGACAACTTTGCACTATAGCAACCAGCTTTTGTCTGTTGCTGCTGCTGCTGTTGCCATTTCTCCTAATTATGGATTAACATAGTAACTCAAAGTTTTGACTTTGCTGCAGACACAGTTGCAATGCGATATAATTCCGGACACAGCCGCCACCTCTGAAGCTCTACGTAAATCTGTGTTCAAATGGACTGCACACCCACACATAGAGAGAGAGAGTGGGGAATGGCAAGACAGAGGAGTCGCTCGCTAATTTGTTATGCCTTACACACGTTGCACTTTCGAATTCCGGAACAAACTTCAAGTCAATAACTCAGCAGCTGGTTGTCAGGAGGCACCCGCAGGAGCTGCAGGAGCTGCAGAGGCACTTAATGCATTATGCAGCAGCAAGTTGTGGCATGTCCTTGCGCAGCAAATGTAAGTACTCTGCGAGGCGAAGCAGAGGCTAAGGCAATGGCAATGGGGTGTGGGCATGGCGCACACATGTGCAGTCTGTGCAGTCATTTCGCAGTTGCTGAAACCTACACAATTCATTCGTCCTGGCTGCTTCCGGCGTCCTGCGACCGGAACGACGTGACTGCAGCAGCAGCAACAGCAGCGGCAGCGGCAAATCGAGCGGGCATGGCATGTCTTAAATAAAATAAATGGCACATTATCAATATAAACAAGAGGAGGACGTCGAGTACGCGAGCTGCAAGCGTAAAGTTGTTAAGTTACTTAATCCAACAAATGAAGCAACAGACACGGCGAGGGGCGGCGCGTGGGGGGGGGGCGGGCCGGGGTTGGTTATGTGTGGAGCGAGCTGTACGACAAGCTAAACACAGTCACGAGCCTGACAAATTGCCGTCTGACTCCAGACTCCAGACTTCAGGACTCCACGACTCCACGACTCTACTTCCACTTGCTGCTGCTGCCGCTGCTGCTGCTGCGCCCTGACCAACAAACAAATTTGGCATTCGTTTCTTTGCTCTATGTCACATAGGGGCGCAAAAGTTGGCCAAGCAAATAAAAACTAATGCCCATTCGCGATGAATATAAATGCGTTTGCTTCAGCTGCAGCGACGCGACAAAAACTTATCGCTGAGAAATGTCGCAAGTTCTCTAGTTTTTCGCAGTGCGCATCAAGTTTTCATGAGCTGCCACGCCCCACACGAGGCGTTAATACAGTCGCCCTGCAAGGCAAGTGTCAAAAAGTGCATATGGAATTAAGTCGGAAGCGGGAAAGGGAGTCGAAGTTCTAGTTGCATCGAGAACTTGTCGAAAATTTTGATTTGCATTTCATTGGATGAATTAAATATTCATATGCGATTGTCAGTCAAACGGACAGTAGCTCGACTCAGGTATTTCGGTATTTGTCGCAAGGCAGCTCGTCTAATGGATTATGCTCAAAAGAAATGAAATGCTTGATTGAAATTGAATGAAAGTGATATTGCTGCACAACAGTCGCTAGATTGATGAGTGAAAAGCTCAAAGATAATGCAAGTGTTGGACTTGAGTAATACAACGACAAAAATATAATAATTCTATAGCATTTCTATGTGACGAAAAAGAATGCAAATTCAATCAACAGTTACACAATAAAAACTTTCTTTAAACACATTTAAAGACCGAAAATTCAACGAAGTTTTGACGCTGATTGAAAGTTTGCTGAGCTTTAAGCCTTTCAACCGCAACAAACTCATTGTCTGCACAGTTTACCCCACTCACTGAGCGGCGAACGTCTGTGTGGAGCCTCTAACGACAGCTAAGCGTCAAACTGGGGGAAACTTTCGGGTGGGTGGGAGATGTGGGATGCGAGATGTGAGATGTGAATGGGAAAAACGCTTGCAGCGCTGAAAGAAAATCGGGATCAATAAAAACGTCATTCAATTTATTTTCAATTTTGCGGAGCGGCAGCGGAAAACGCGAACGAATGGAATGGAATGGCATGGAATGAAACGTGGCATAGAAAGAGTGCCTAACAAATAATGGCAGACAGAAAACGCAATAAATTTAAAGAAGAAAAGCAGAGAGGTCTCTCTCTATCTCTATCTCTCTTTCACTCTTTTGCTTTATGTGTGTGTGTGTGTGAGCAATGACAAAGTGCGAATAGAAAGAAACGTTAGGGCACATGGATGTGTCTGTCTGTGTGTGTATCTCTCTCTCTCTCTCTCTGGTTATATCAAATAACTTTGACTTTACACATTATTAAACCGCAATGCCGACAGCTGCAGCGAGCGGTGCAAGAAATAAAGTGAGACAAACAAACAAAGCACATTTGTAAGGATCTCGAAGGCGAGGCACCAGGCACAAAGCAGCATGCAGCAGGCACAAGTTGCATTCACAGGACGCGCTCCTGTTGCACTCGTTTGTTGCAACTGCAATGCCTGCTCCATCGTTGACGACGACGACGACGACTTTTTACACTTGACAAAGCTCAACAAACAATTGTCAGCCTTGTCGTCCGTGTCGTCCGTGTCGTCCTTGTCGTCCTGGCTGCGGCAATAGCTATCAGAGCTGACTGGCTGCGGCTCTCATTGTCTTGGCTGTTAAATTTTTGAACAGAAATTGATTAAAGCGCCACAAATTGTTTGTCAAGAGTGCTTTAAGCTCAAGCTATGCCATTACTTTCTCACTGACTCGCGCTCACTCTGCCTCCCTCTCTCTCTCTCCCTGTCTCTCATGTGCAGCCGGTGCCTCTCTGTCTTGGCCGTGGCGCAGTATCTGCGGCTGCAGCATTTTCCTTTGCCGCTGGCATTGCGGCAAAGTCAATGAGTGGCAATATGCCACCAATAATTCAGGTCACGCGAGTTGTCGTTGGCGTCTTGCTCCTGCCGCACAGTGGGGCAATGCTCGTGAGTTTTTGTGATTCAATTATATTTAGATAAGTCAGCGGAAATTGAGCTTTTATATAACATTAACTTGCATTAAACATCAAACAAGAACAAGAAATCTAGACAAACTTAGCTTGGGTTTTTTTTAAAATATTTTTATTCATGTATATTTGTGAGCTTTTCTAATATTTGCAATCATAAAATAATAATCTCGATGAAAAAACTAAGCTAAATCTGTCTTATCCAGCTGATAGTATGATAACATATTTAATTTTTGTTTAATTAAAAGTTTGTTAACATGTTTTCCGCTTCCTGTTTTATTTTATTTTTTTTTTTATAAATTTTTGTTTATCAATTAAAAGTGTGTACATTTCATTAACAAGTTTTCTGCTACCTGTTTTTTGTTTTTATTTTTTATTTTATTTTATATTTTTTTTATTAAAAACTTGTTTATTTTTTTATTTTTTCTGCTACCCGTTTCATTTGTTATATATTTTTTAAAATACAAGTTTGTATATAGCAATCAACGAGTTTTCTGTTATTCTTAGCAGCAATTCAATCGAGTTTTATTTGTATATTTTAATTTATTTTCCATGATTTTCGCTTCACTGTGCCGCAACGTCTTGGACTCTGCCAGGATGTCGCTTTCTTCGGCGAACGGCGCCAGTTTGACTGTCGCTCTCGGTCGCAGCGTATATGCGCTGTCTCGCTCACTCCTAGGCACGCTGGCTCGCTCAGCTGCGGTTGCCTGAATTGCTGCGGGTATATTGTGGAATTTTCTATTGCCTTTTTCAGCACAGAAAGAGAGAGGAAGAGCGGTAGAGAGCCGTTGCCTGCACCCACACATAATACACTCTCACACACACACACACACACATGTACGCTTTTCCATTGTGTGTGCTGACATCGTTAGGCCATTCTACATTTAGCGTCTCGCAACTCTCTTCTGTTGGGCTGCTGCAATTTTAATGAAGCTGCGGCATGCGGCATGTGGCATGTGGCAGGCGCCTTCAAGTTGCACGCGCCATTGGCGCAACTTGCGCTTTTTATGCTGCGCTTTTTGTTGCTGCTGTTGACATGTTGTTGCGAGGCCTTGGCTGGGCCATTGTGGCGAAATGAGCCCTATATACGAGCCTTCGGTTCGCCCATTGTGCGGAGCCACAGCTGATGGGGAAACTCAATTTCAAAGTGGTCAGAGCTTCAATTCCAGCTTCCAGCAGCAGCGGATCGAAATGGTCGAATTGAAGCCAGCAGCCGTCTGTCAATTGGAAGTTCAATTTTTGGGCTAATCAATGGATGCCGACCAGACGCATGAGGCAGACGTTCAAGAGTACTTCTTGCACAGCCACACACACACACACACACACACACACACACACGTGCACATGGCATGTCTGTTTGCTGCTGACCGGGCTTGGCTTTGAATAAATGCCATAATTTATGGTCAAAAGTTTGCTTGTGCACACATTTTGCGGAAACACTTGAAGCGCAGCTATTTAGCAACGGCTCTTTGATGATAATAACCATCGTAATGACGTTGCAGATGACGATGATGATGATGATGCCAGCCCACAAATGCCATGACCAATCCCCAAATGCAGTTCATCTGAAAACTTTGCTCGGTTACGTTTCGGTGTCCATTAGTGTAATTTAGAACTCAACTTCACTTGAGTTTGTGTGAAAATTTCGATTAAAAAAATAAAAAGAATAAAGAAGAAGAGATAGAGATAGAAATAGGAAGAGATTTTCAATTTACTTAATAGTTAAGGGACAAGACAAGCGCATCAAATTACAAAGATCCCTAGACAGGTGGCTGCACCCGAATAGTTCTGCTCGAGGGAGCTGCTGCTGCTGCTGCTGCTGATTGTTGTTTGTTTTGGTCTTCGGTTCGTCGTCTAATGAAAAAGGAGCAATCGCATCATCACAAAAATGCTAATCAACAACGAAATCGATAAATGTTTGAATAAGTGTTTGAATTCTGTTTGCGGAGCGACAATGCACACAATTGAGGCCAGGGGCGATACGTGGCTGAAGGCCAGAGAAATTCTCGCTTTTCCCCAATTCGATTTGCATATTATGAGAAAAGCGACAAAACAAGAAAAAAGAACGAAAACTGACGCCGCGCCGTTTACGTGTGTATGTGTGTGGGTGTGTGTGTGTGATTGGAAGGCTAACTACAACTGTGTTGATGACGAGCTGATAGTTAAATTTCTTTCAGCAGGGGAATATTGGTTAGGCAAAAAATTAATTCCATAGAAATTCACGGAAGAAAACTATATATATAAATTAAATAAAACTGATAATGGAATTGGTTTTTGGTAGTTATAGATATTAGAATTCAATTATTAAAAATCACAAAAGAATAATATTTGTGTATAAAATTAAATTAAATATACAACAGCAATATTATATTAATAAAAAATATATATCTAATATAAATAAATATGTTAATAATTAGAATTAAAAATCTATAAAAATTAAAAAAAAAAACGATTTAATAGAAAAAAAAAATAGATATTATAAAAAGAGATAAACATTTAGCAAAACTTTAAGCAATCAGTATTCTCTAATTCATTCCGATTATGGTTCTTAAAAAAATATGACCTTGATTTATTTAAGCAAATTTATTTAAAATATTTGCATATGTCATTTTACTTCTTTTTTACAAATTCCTATTTTCTTTTACAATAAATTCAGGTTTTTTGTCTTTATTTGACCATTTTGTCCCAATAATAACAGAACCGTCAAATATTTTATCCCAACTCCTGCTTACGTCCTCAGGCATATCCACAAACAATCGTTTTCAAATCTCTCCTTCTGTGTGCTACCTTCAAATGGCAAATTTTAAATATGTATATTTAATCTGAAAGCAGATTAGAAATAATCCTAATACGCTTCCATAAAACAGGTCAAATGACTCCAATTGTTGTTTATCGTTTTTAACATAAACATTTTCAAATATTGCAATAAAATTTAAAAAGAAAGCATGTGATAATACACGCAGTTCCCTTTGGTAATTACCTCCATCAGCAGATAGATATTATACTATACGAAGTAGATATCCTGCCTATTCATATCCATATCAATAACATTTTAAGCACACTCATCAACCCAATGACAAACAATTTCTACACGTGCCACAGAGCACGAATCCAATATGATAACACACACACAAGCACACACACATACACAGACAGACGAATAGACACGTATGTGTGCAGGATTCTGGCTAAAGATGCGCAATCAATGGATTACTTCCGCTATGGTTGCTTAGAGGCCCAGCCACAAAATAGCAACAACATTTTTCGCAGTAGCACAATAAAGGGCAGATAGAGCAATGTGTGTGTGTGTATGTGTGTGTGTGCGTGTGTGTGTGTGTGTGTGTGTGTGTGTGTGTGTGTTTGAAATCAATATGCTAGTACACTAAAGCATTGACAGCACAATTTAAGTTTGTCTAGCTAAGAGCAACAAATATATACTACTATGAAACATACATACATACACATATAAAGTTCTATATATTTAGATGTTTATCTTATATATAAAATACTATTTCTATTTTTTTTTTTTTTTGCTCGTATTTGCTTAAAATTGAAAATGCGCAAAGCGACTGTTTAAGCATTTCAATTGATATCCATCAGCAAAGTGGCGCAACAAAAAAAAAAAAAAAAAAATATATATATATATATACATATATATATGTATATCTGAGTATATATTGAGAAATAGAAAAATCAATTCAATCACGCTTATCAGAGCCAACGAGCTGGGTTCGGGGATGGGCGCTACAAAAGCGACAAACGTCAGCAACAGCAGCTGAGTGGAAAGCGAAAAAAAAAGGAAAATTGTTTACACAAAAAAGAAAGAAATAGAAAAAAAAAATTACAATTCAAAAAGCATTTTCGGTATGTTTACTGCCGCAGCAAAGTAGGCAAAAGTGGGAAGGCAGAGAAAGAGAGAGAGGAATAGCTAGAGACAGAAAGCGCAATGATGACGACAACAATAAAAATTGAAATGGAACTCGAGTCAACGTTTTGGCCATGATTTACGGCTGTCGCTGAGCGAGATTTTTATCCTTTTTGAATTGTGCTAGCAGTTTTTAGACAGTTTTACTGTTTATAACTATGCCAGGCGACACACACACACACACACACACAGACACCCACACACAAACATGGAGAGACGCCATCAAAGTGGCGCCACAGTGTCGCATTGCTGTGCGCATATTTATATCGCTCACTGTTATTGTGTGGGTGGCCCAAGTCGCATTAGCTGCGCATTGTTGTGACAGCGGCTTACTTAAATATTGCCTTATTGATTTTCCTCTCCCTTTATCCAACGTGCTTCTGGTTGCTGTTGTTGCTGTTGTTGTTGCTATTTTTATTGCCTGCTCTATGCTGATCTACAAGTGCGTCATGAGCTGCACTTGTGCAGCTACTAAAGTTGATTGCTGAAGTGTGCGGCAGCAGCTGAAGCTCGTAGCAGCCAGCTTTAGTGCGCCACTAAGCTAGCTGACTGCTATGCAACGGCAGAGTAAGACTTGCTTAAGAAGCGAAAGTGAATGCTAAAAGTATTGCAATACATGTTTGCATAAATCAACTATTGGAAAGGTTTTGCATTTGGATTTAAATATGCGCATTTGTTTAGACATACCGTTGTATTTATGAATAGATAAATGAAAGGTAAATATATAAATTAAAATGAAAAATAAATAACAAGAGTTCGATGTAAATAAATGAAGAAAATTATATGAATATAATAGAAAATCAGTGAATATTCATATAGTCCTTGAATGATTTTGAACATGCACTAGATCTGCATATAAATCGATTGTGGCTCCACTCAATGCTTTAAAATATCTATATATATAAATTTAAAAAAATAAATAAATAAAATACAATATATAACTTATCCAATTAGTATATCAGATAACTTTTAAACGTTGTTTCTACTGTCCACTAAGTCAGACAATATGTCAACATGAAACAGAATCCATTGAACTATCACAAAAGCGACTATCTATCGATACTATCGATGTTGTCATCGGTGGTCTTTTAAAAGTTCTGTCAATTCCATATCATTGTTAATAAGTTTTGATTGTCTTGCTTAACATACAGCTTAGAGTTTGCTTAGGAGAAAATGAGCATCACTTAGTTGAGGACTTTTCTGAAAATCCCTGACTGGCTGATCAACTCGCCTTCGCTTGAACCTTATGGTGAATTGCCTGGCGCGCTGATTACACTTGAGTGACTCACTTACAGCCGCACTTTACTACACACACACACACACACAGCAGCCGCACTCATACAGATTAACATTCTATCTGCGCTTCTATCGCCATTCGTGACGTCGACTTATGGCCAACTTTTCAATCACTTTCCAAGCGATTAAACAATCAGCGGCATTATAATCTCAGCACAAAGAGTCATGTATCATACCCAGTTGCACTCTGAGAGTGTGCCTGTGTGTGTGTGTGTGTGCCTGTGTGTGTGAGTGTCTCTGTGTGTGCGAGATTTTCTTTTTTGCGCTGTCAAACATGATTTGCATATGCTGCCTGTGGCTTTTGCTTTTGGCTAGAGATTATGGATTAGCGACTCTTCGAATTCGATTCCCATTTGAGTTTTTGTTCGTTGCAGTTTCTTTTTTTTAGCAGCAGCAGTTTGCAAGTTTTCCTCTGTCTCTTTCGCTTGAGCTTAGCTCAGCAATTAAAAACAGGCTGGCAATTTGGCTTGGTCACACGATTATAATAGTCTTTGGAAATTATGAACTCGAATTAGCATTTCGGTAGAGTGCTTTTGGTTTGGCTGCCAACTGGCCAGCAGATAATTGATTGTGGTTACAAAACGATTTCCTGCTTGCGAGGCGATTATCTAAGAGCGGCGCTTACTTCGGGCCACTTTTAATTCAGGCATTCATTAAAATGACATTTATTTTCAAGACCCCACACACGCGCACAGGCACACACGCCCACTTAGTGCCTGGGAAATGGGCTTAAAAAGCCATTATTGTCAACATTTATAATAGTTTGCTGGCGCCCGGACGTGAGGTGAGGCAGGCGAATGTGTCCTTTGCTTACATTTGCCTTACGTTTCCTGAGACCTGCCTCGGCATTGTGTCTGTGTTTGTTTACCTTACACTTGAGTGGCATAAAAACACTCGCACGAACACTCACACAATATACCCACACACAGACGCACACACACACTGTGGTGCGCACCTGCTTAAAGGCCGAGGCAGACAGCCTCAAGTGTCAGGCCGAGTTCTCTTGCGGGTTGAGCACCTTCATTGAAAACAATTTGGCCTATGCTGCGTATGAGTAATATATGAAGTGTGTATAGGTGTGTGTGCGAGTGTGTGTGAGCGTCTTCGGTGTGTAGAAGAAGCTGAAGAGTGCCGCAGCTGGGATTGCTGAAACTTGTGTGGATAGATTAAGTATGTGTGCGTGCGAGTGGGTGTGGGTGGAGGGCAACCGGAATGTAGCTCGCATCATAAATGTCAACAGCTGCGCGTCTTTATGTTCTCTGCGAGCCTGAGAACTAATTTGGTCGCATATGGAAACTCTGAAACGCTTGGAATAATGTGCAGCAATTTGATTTGAACAGCCTTTTGAAAGCCCGCATTCTCCAAGGACTACTTAGTAGTGTGCGTATATAACTCTTGTTTATAGTCGCAGTGGAGAGAGAGAGAGTGAGACAGAGGGAGAGGGAGTGAGTGATGTATATAATCTCTTCACAAGTTGCACAAAAAATTACTTCATTTTGTATCTAATTATCTTCTCCTTGCCTTCGCCACTTTTCTAAAATCCTCAGAAAAACAAATAATAAGCAGAGCAACAGCAAGTTCTTACATAAGTTATGCCATGCCACAACACTTTTACTTGCGCAGCTCGCAAAATTGCTTAACAATCTGCGGACAGCTTCCTTGCAACAGCGATGGCAACAAACCATCCATCAGCATTTCAGCATTGCCGGTTTAATGGCCAGAGCTCGCCCCCAAAGGCCCCCTCGGCCGGCTTGCCGGAGGCGTCTCTTGGCTCGTGCTTATTACGCGTTGTGCACATTCACTTTGACAACTTGTGACAATCTGTCTCTCACTCATAATTATTATCATTATTATTATTATTATTATTATCATTATTTTTGGCTTAAATCCTTTCGTTGACTGCGCTGACAGCGCAGTGCTCTGAGCTTTAAGCTTAATGGCAAGCGTCAACAAATTGCGCAAGTTCGTTTCATTTTAATTTGTACTTCCTGCCCTTCAACGCGCTGCTCTCTCTCTTCTCTCTTCTCTCCTCTCTCTGTCCACTCTCTTCGTTTCCCATTCCCCCACTGATTTTAATCGCACTTTTTAATTACTTTCCTTTAATTTCGGCAACTTTTGCTGCTGCTATTTGTCTTGTCACATTTTTCATTTCTTCTTCTACTTTTTCTTATATATATATATATTTTTTTTTTTGTAATTATTTCTGCACTTTTATTTAATAATTTCTCTTGGCACGATGTCAAATAAAAAGGAAGCACGAAATCAACTTGGCCAAAGAAGAGAGCACAAAAATTTATCATTTTGCTGCACTCGAACGATATGAAACTGAACTGAAAACTCTGGCAGAACAAACGCCCTGCCATGGCTAACATATGTGAGAGCTGTTGATCAATCAGACAGAATTGAAAACGTGCAGCTTAAAGTAATTGAGTTTAATTCTCTATTGGTTAAAGTGAATCACGTGAATCATACGAGAAACTAGTCTAAAAAAGCTCTAGACTCTCCTCTTACTAACTCAATTTTAAGGTAGACCTTAGCTACTTTAAGTTCTATGCCTTCAGTGCTCTCTATTTTAACTGAATTATCAGAGATTTGCTCGTCTCATTGACATATCCTTGGGGTCCACACAGCACCAGGCTCTGCCTAAGCCAAAAATAATTTAAGTCTTGCTCAAAATGAAATTTAATTGTCACATTAAACGTCTCGAAATTGAAAGACAAGTCCCTTAAGGTACCCACACACACACACACACACACACGCACACACCAGCACATACACACACGCACACACACACACAGAATTCTAAGAGTAAATTCTCCTGTGCAGCTGACGCCAATTTCGAAATATTTTGTGCCCTGGAGCGCTGGAGGCACATTCCAATGCTCATGCGAGAGAATTTAACCTATTTACACAGTAATTTATTTGCTTATAAACATAAAACCACTTTCGCTGAACAATGGGCACACAGACATGTGTGTGTGAGAGTGTGTGTGTGTGAGGCATATGTTAAGCTTGGAAATGTAAGAGGCAAAAGGAAAAGGGCCATGCAAAAGGCAGTTACTTAATTTAATAATTTTCACATTTATTGAAACAAAATGAACATATGAAGGAGGGCGAGACAGAGAGAGAGTGAGAGTGAGTGAGAGTGATGGACTGAAGGCTAAAGACTTTTTGCAGTCATATCTTTTTGGTTCATTTGTGCTGGGTTTTAATTTTGCACAGAGCAAATGTGTGTGTGTGTGAGGATGTGTGTGTGTGTGTGTGAGTTGCAAGCACACACTTAAAACTCAAATATTTGCATACACTCGAGTATTGTTTGCATAAAAATACCAAAAAAAAAAGGGAAAGAAAAAAGGGAAGGGAAGCAGAATGAAAAGAAAGAAAAAGGCAGCAAATGAAAGGCAGCAGACAAAGCTGACGTGGGCGGGGGGCAGGGTGTAACGTCGCAAGTGTGTGGGGTTGAGTGGCGTTGTAAAGGAACTGTAGCTGCAATCCCCCAGTTGTTGCCTTAGACCAAAGCAAATTTATTATCACACAAAAGGCAAAAGACGCAGCAACTGGCGGCAATCTATAAAAAGTATCAGCCTGCCTGGCAGCTTGGCAGCCAAGTGGAACCAAGAGGAGCAGCAGCAGTCGCAGAGCACAAAATCAAACGAAATGAGGCAAACACACACAGACACACACACACTCATACAGAGATAGAGGAGCGTAAGGACACACGTCGAGGATGTGTAGCCTGG